GAAGGAGGCTGTGCACACTGGGGGAGGGGAAGGAGGTTTTGCACACTGGGGGAGGGGAAGGAGGCTTTGCACACTGGGGGAGGGGAAGGAGGCTGTGCACACTGGGGGAGGGGAAGGAGGCTTTGCACACTGGGGGGAGGGGAGGAGGCTGTGCACACTGGGGGAGGGGAAGGAGCTGGTGAAGGACCGAAGGTCTGGGGCATGACCAGACCCCCACACACACATCCTTGATTTTCTAGTTGCCCTGATCTGGTTGACAGCTGCGAGAAGTTTTTATTTCTCTCCTTTGGCCAAGCAGACACATGTGACCTTGACCATCCTTCATGCCATCCAGTGGGAAACTTGAGCCGCCAAGGCCACAGGAAACGTGAGCACCCTGGAGAACACGGGCCAGGTGTCAGAGGGAGGAAGGTCTGGACGTGGGGAGGCCGGGGCAGGAGGACGAGAGAGGAGAGGAGGCAGACACCCAGCCTTGTGCGGGGCTGGAGGCCATGCCAGCTGTCCGCTGGAGGTGAGCCTGTGAAGGAGCCCCGTGCCCCTAAGGGGTCTCTGTGCAGCCTGGTCACTGCTGGTCATCCAGCAAGACCAGCTCCCCAGCGCCCCCAGGGCCTGCCTGCCCGCACACCCTCACTTGTGGGGTCCTGCATCTAGCCCCCTGGGCTCCCTGCCCCTCGGGAGCAGCTGCTGGAGCACAAGCTCAACTCAGGGCTGAGGAGCAGCTCAGGGACAGGGGCAGCCCCAGGGGTGGGGGAGGCCCCATCTGCCTCTTGGGGCCGGCAGCCCAGCCTGGGCTCCACAACCCTGGGGCGGGGGGTCCCTGCCCGGAAGGCACATAAAGAAAAATGGGGTCTGGAATTATTTTCTTTGAAAAAAATAAATAAAAGAGAAAACTTGCTTTAAAAGGGGAGAGACTGATGTCCATGGTTTCCTGCCCTCGGTCTGGGGCCAGTCAGGTGGTTTCGGGAGAAATGGTCCTCTCCTGCTCCGTTAAATGTGACTGAGCCCGAGCTACATTTGCAAACCACATGAGACCCGCAGGCAGCCGAGCTCACAACAGGCTGGCCCCCACACAGACAGACCCCAGGGGAGGACCGGGGCCAGGGCAAGAAGGCAGCCCCGCGGAGGGCCCGGAACCCCGGCCACTCGAGCCGCCCATCAGCGTGGGCAAGCCAAGAAGCCGGAATGGGGAGGGGGTCCCAGGAGCCCTCACACAGCCCCTTGCCTCCAGGTGAGGCTGGGGAGGCCCAGCTGAGTCCTGGCCTGAGCTCACTCCCGCTCCCCCTGCCCCGTCCCCCAACCCCGCCAAAGTACAGCCCAACACCCTCCACTGTCCTGGCCCTGCAATGTCCCTCCTCCCCGGAGGGGACGGGCAAGGGCCACGGCTCAGTCAGAGGACCACGGCTCAGGATGGTGGCACGCGGGAACCGGGCCCCCGCTCATGGTAAGGGGTTGGCCCTCATCCATCCCCATCCCCTGTGATGCTGGCTCTCCAGGCCTGTGCCTCACCTCCCAAGGAGCGCGTGAGTGCACACATGCACAGACCCACTTGAGTGTGCACACGACTTCACACAAATGGCTTGAGTGTGCACCAACCAGCAGGAGCCCCTCCAGCCATGTGTGGCTGCTGACATCTTGACAGATTAAGATGAAGCAAGCCACATTTGGGGGTCCCCAGGCCTGACTGCGCAGACCCAGAACCCCCACCACCTAAGAATCTTGCTTGGCAATGAGGTTTGGGTGTCTGTCCCCAGGATGCTCAAGGCAGTGGAGGGTGCTGAGAAATCAAGAACCCGGATCCCGTGTGACGTCCCTTCTCTGCAGGCCCTGTCCAGCCAAGCAGGTCTCCTCTCTGTCTCTGACGGGTGCTCGGCACTTGGAGGAGGCCCAGTCAGGACCAGCCTCCTGGGTGGGAGGGGGGAGGCTGAGATGAACCACGGAGCCTCCCAAGTTCAGGGGCACAGGGCTGTGGGTCACGGTGGCCTGTTCTCCTCCCTTCTCTGCGTCCAGTGATGCCTGCTGCATCTTGAACCCAGCACGATGGGACTATTTACACCAGGGTGATGGGCCAACACTGCCGTTCAGGTGCCCTGCGGCCACAATCCTGTCTTTACTGAGTGCATCGGGACCCCGTGTTCTCTGGGAGGCCATGTTCCTGAAGACCAGAAGCTGGCAGTTCTTCCCAAGAATTTTATTAAAGGGAAAATATTTGCTCCGGGTGGCGCTGGGGGTCCCTTCCCCCTGTCACTCCACCACAAGCCCCCAAGGCCCCACTGAGAGTCCACCTGCACTCTCTGTACAGAGCAATCAGAGCAGGAGTTTCATTGTAAAAGGCAATTGTCCTCCCAGGACAGCTTCCATGAGATGGACCAGGTCAGAGCTGGCGGGGGCAGGTGGGCAAGGCTTAATCACTGGAGCTCTCCTGCAGGGCTTCCCGCTTCCTGTCTCTCACCCACCGGCCACTGCCCTGCGCCCAGCACCCCTGCCCCTGTCTCAGCTTGCCTGCTTCTGGGAGCTCAGGGCCACTGCCTTCTGTACTTGGGGGCTACGTGAAGGCTGGGGGGCCTCCCAGAGTGAGGCTCCTGCAGGCCTGTTCCCGTCTCCACAGCTGATGCCCCTGAGTCAGAGGAGGAAGCTGAGTCTCCTGGTTGAGGGACACACCACGTGGAGGGAAGAGGCCACCACCCACCTCACTCCCGGGAGGCTGGCCACAGGAGCCCCCGCTGCCCACCTGGGTGCCCTGGGCAAGGGGCAGCCCGTTCCCTCCCCCCCAGCCCCTTCTGTGTCAGTCACTGGCCTGGGGGGCTCTGGGTCCAGCTGGGCCGGTCTTGGCGAGAGCTGAGCCTGCCGTGGGGGGTGGGGGCCGCGCCGCCCCTGGGCCTGGGGTGTTCACCCCCCCAGACTGCACTGCTGCAGATGTCCTAATCACCAGGAGCCATTTATAGGGGCGCTTTGTACACAGGGTTTACAGCCCCTCTCATTGTCATATAAAGGGCAGGGAGAGAAGGCCCCAACCGCAGTAGAACCTCCACCAGCAAGGCTGGCATCGCAAGAATCCCGCCGCTTTGGTCCATGCACCTCAGCCTTGCACCTGAGGGACGGGGGTCGGGTGGCCGAGCTGCAGGCCAGGCTCCCCGGAGCGCCTTCACCCAAGCTGGGTGGAGGGGGATAAGGGCCCCGGAGAGCACACTCTGCTTGAGTTTCACCGAGGCCAGAAACTCTGAGTCCGGGCTTGAACCCTGAGGGGACCCCCTCTTCTGAGCCTCCTTCCCAGCACACGGGGCTCCATGCCGCCCAGGCACCCAGATCACGGTGTCTCACCTCCCTGCAACTGGCCTTGCTGGAGCCCCCAGGTCTCGGGAGGACCCTAAACCCACATCAGGGGTGTAGAAGCAGTCTGGGCCCCTCCCCTCCACACTAGCACTCCGGATCAACAGAAGCCAAGACAGCGGGGGAGAAGGACGTGCACCCAGCTTCTCCTGCGAGAACTCCAACATCGCAGCTTGCTGCTCAACAACCGAGAGGAGGATGCTGGAACCTCAGAAATACCGATACCGCATGTCCAGGACAAAGAAGAAGCCGCAACAGGAGGGCCGGAGGGGCGCAGCAATGGGAAAATCAAACTCGCGATCCCGGGCCTGCTCGAGGCTAGCACCCCCGTGCTTCTGGGCTTGGGGCGGAAGGACAGATGGGGAGGCCAAGACCCAGGGCAAGACAGACCCGGGGCAGAGGGCGGCGGGCCTCCATGATGGACTCCACCCAAGGGACCGGCCCTGCTGGCTCCGAGCGTGGGACAGATTGACCACCCTCTCTCCCGGCTGAAGCTGGAGGAGGGAGGGGTCAGGCCCAGTCAGCAAGGGGACGGCCACGGTGGGACGTGACCCGCAAGCCCCAGGGCCGCAGGAAGACCTGGAGGCCCAGAGCAGGGTTGGGTGGGGCATCCCGTGGGGGCTGTCCTGCCTCTGCTCAAGGGCCCAGGGGTCAGGGGGCTGGGCTGGGGGAGCTGTGGGCCTGGAGCCCTGGGGGAAGGGCGGTGGGAGAGGCTAGCCCGGGATGTGTCCGCCCGGCTCTCTCTGCTGGACGCATTCAGGCCCTCGTGCGGCCTGCTTTGCCCAGGGTCCGCCCCGCGCCCCCCCATCTTGGCAGGGGCCCCTCTCACTCGGGGCTCCGTGCCCTCAGCTGACCTCCACGGTCCCTTCCCTGTCTCTCTGTCTGAGGCTGAAACCCCTCCACTGTCCGGCTCCTCGTCCGCCCTAGAGAGACGAGCAGGACTCAGGTCTACAGGGCACAGGTCCAGGGCATGTTCTGGGGAGGCTGCCCCTTGCCCGCCTCACTCCCCAGACCACCAGAGCCCAAGGCTTGGTGCTGGGCAGGGAGGGGCCCACTGGGTTCCCAGCCGGCAGAGCAGGGCTGGTCAGCTGCGGGCAGAGGAGACCCTGGAAATGTGTCTGCACCAGGGCAGAAGGCCCAGACTCGCAGGCCGGGGGAGCAGGGCTGGGCTGAAGGGGCTCGGGCGGCCCAGGCCACGGGCAGTGATGGGGACCCAGAGAGGCCGCTCCGCGGCATCTGCCGAAGCTCTGAGCACCCCGCTGAGTGCGGTCGTGGGGCCGCCAGGCAGCCGGGTGGGGGCAGCCAGAGGCGAGAGGAGCCCTGGCCTCGGGGCGGGCAGCAGAGGGTAGGGGCCGCGGCCCCCAGCGTCCCGCACTTGCCGCCCAGAGGGGCTCTGGGGACCGGCAGGACCCACCCCTGGCCGGAGCCTGGCCTTGTGCGCAGCGCTGCTCCCCGGAGCCACAGATGAGGTGAGGGGGCCCCTCGCGGTCTCACCTCCTCCCAGCTGCAGGCCTCGGCTTGGTCCCGTCCGTGACTGGGCCCCAGCCTGCCTCCACTGCGGGCTCCACGCACTGGCTGGACCTCTGAGACCCCCGCAAGCTCCTCTCACTGAAGCAGCCTTGCGGGCGTGGGGCGCCTACCACGCTGGCCCTGGGGCTGGAGGGCAGAGGCCACTAGGGCTCCCTCTGGGAAGATCCCACGAGGCGGCCGGCCCACAGGCTGAGGAAGACGGGACTGGTGGAATGCGGGGGGCCCTGGGTAGCTGTATCTGGGGGCACCGAGTGAGGAAGGTAGGCGGTCAAGCCCCAGGCCGTCTGGGCAAGCTGGCCCCTGGACGGCTGTGCTTGCGAGGCCCGTCTCTGGGGACCTGGGGGCTGCAGCAAGGGCACCGCGTCCTCCTCCCGGGGGCTCATCCACGCTCAACCCACCCGACTGTGACAGTGGGCTTGCACGGTTAAGACATCAAAGTTCTCCCGAGTTCAAAGATGTCAGAGGGCAGAGGTCACGGGCCCCGAGTGCCCTGTCTGTAACCTCAGCCCCAGTGGGGGACGTGGAGGCCCCCTCCCAGTGGGGGAGTTGCAGGGTCCCCCTGCGGCCTGGCCAGCCCCTGCCCTGTTCTTGCAAAAGCAAAAGAAAACATTGAGGCCTCCCTGAGCAACCCCCCACCTCAAATAACCCGGGCCCCGCACAGCGGGCCGGCCGGAGGGGTTGTTTGCAACCCCAGGCACACGGCAGAGCAAAGTAAATTCCTTGCTTTATGATGAGAAGGAGGGGAGGGGGCCCAGGGAGACAGACGTGGGGAGACAGTGTTTGCTTGGTTTCCCTTCTCGGTTTTCAGGCCCAGGTGGCCTGGGTGCCAGACCCCTGCCCAGCCCTGCCCAGATGCCAACCCCCGGGCCCTGGGCCCTGGCAGGGCAGAAGGGAGAGGGTGGGGGCAGGTGGCAGAGAGCTGAGGGGTAGAAGTGAAGCTGGCTGTCGGCCCAGCCACCCACCTAAAGCCCCCAGAGGAGGAAGGCCCCGAGGAGAGCCAGGGCCGGGCTGGGCGTCAGGGGAGCAGGACCACAAGCCGCCGCACTGCAAAGGGCATGTGGAGATGGGGCTGGGCCAGAGGGCAGGGGCAGCCGCACAGCCCAGGGCCGGGACTGGGCTGAATGGCAGGACGGGGTCTTGCGGGCAGAGCTGCGCTGGCCGGCACCCGGCCCTGAAGGTGGAGCTGGAGGGACGGCCACTCTCTCCTCCCAGGGTCCCAGGCCTGGCCAGGCTCATCCAGGGGTTCCAGGCCTGAGGGCCTCTTTTCTTGGTACATTCAGGGCCTGATGGGTGGGCAGCTGCAGAAGGAAATGGCAACCCACCCCAGTATTCTTGCCTGGGAAGTCCCACGGACAGAGGAGCCTGGAGGGCTACATGCAGTCCATGGGTCACAGAAAGGTCAGAAATGCCTTAGCAACTGAGCGTGCATGCTCAGGTGGGCAGTGGGTCCTCTCTGAGGGCCCTCCCTGGGTATCTCACACCATGGGACATCGCTGAGCACTGCGGAGCATGAGAGGGCCTGAGGGAGGGGCAGAAGATCCCTCCCCACTTCACCTCAGATGGCCCTTGAGGATGGGGTCCATGCGCGAGCCCTATCCTGAGCCCCAGGCCCCAGGAGGACGTGTCCAATGCAGGCACCCTGAGCACTGCCCGTGCAGAGCCAGCCCAGCTTCTCTCCACTGGCCTCGCGCGCAGCCAGCTCAGCCCAGGCCGACGGGGCCCCAGGAGGAGCCCCAAGGAGGACCCAGTGCCTGGGAGGGGAGGACTTGGCTGCCCTGTGATGGCCAGCAGCGCTGTGTCCAGGGAGACGTCCCAGACGGCACTGAGCCTCACATCTGGGGGAAACGGTCCAAGCTGCCTGCGCCCCAGGGCAAAGTCCCCGGGGGACAAGCACGAGCCCAGCCCAGCAGCTCCAAGCCAGGAGGGGGCTCCGGCGGGATTGCTCAGAGAGGCGGTGGGCGGCCCCCGCCCATGCCTGGTTGGCTGCCGGGGGGCAGCAGTGGGTGGACTTTGAAGACCCTCAAAGGCCCTCCTGCAGGAGTGGATTCTGGGGGCAGTTCCGCAGAGGAGGGTGCCCGGCTGGAAGGTTGGGCTTTTGGGGACCATGAAGACACATGACGGAAGCAGACCCCGGCCAGTGTCTTGGGAGTCTTCTTCGAGAAGGGACATGCACACCCCCTACCTCACACACGACAGGCAGCCACTGTCCACTCCCATCCTCTCTGAGGAGGCGCCGGCCCTCCTGCCCAGGGGACAAGATAGGATCCTGAGCTCTGCCCCCCTGACCCTGGGGGGCCGGGCCCTGCCCCTCAGTGAGGCCGGGGGAGCATCCCACCCGCCTGGGCTGGCTCTGCTCCCCCACCAGCCCTAGGCCTCGGGGTCCTCATCTGAATGCCAGGGGGATGGACCCTGCAGGGGTCCCTGTCCAGACCTGGAAACGCCATCACAAGGTGCCCAGGGGAGGGGCCTCGAAGCGTCATCGCCGGGGCGGGGTGAGACCGGAGAGCAGGCCGGGGGGCACTGTGCCGGGGGTCCACCGGGGCATCAGAGCACAGAGGGGTTCTGGGGGCCAAGGGTGCTCTTGGCCCCCCCAGAGCGGGCTCACCAAGCCCTCTGAGGATGGGTGGGCCTGTGACAGGCCTGCAAAGGGGGACTTTCCCACCTGCCGACCAGCAGGGCAGCTGAGAGGAGACGGGGGGGCTCGAGGCAGGGCAGGAAGGTCGCTGTGCAGGTCTGCGTGGCTGTCCCTACATAGTCCCACAGGCCCGCGCCACCTGCAGGCTTCCATTTCCTTCCAGTCCTGGAGGCTGGAACCCCAGACCCAGGCGTGTGCAGGGCAGGTCCTCCTGAGGCCTCTCCTGGGCGTGTGGATGGCCGTCATCCCTCAGGGTCGTCCCTCTGTGCGTGCCTGTGTGTGGACCTCCTCTTCTCGTGAGGACCCCCGTCCTGGGGGATTAGCCCACCTTAGGGCCCTCACTCGAATGGGTTCTGTCTGTCAAGACCCCCGTCTCCAATCACAGGCTCAGTCTGAGGTCCTGGAGGTCAGGACTCCAACATGGGAATTGTGGGGGGGGGACACAGGTCAGCCCATGGCAGTCCCCACTGCAAGACCCGTCACCAGAGAAGACGGCGAGGCCACTGCTGGGGCCCGGGAAGGGGAGAGGGTGTGTCCGTGCAGCCTGGGGAGGAGGGGAGCCTGGGAGCCGGGAGGAGAGGAGGGCTGCGGGTCCAGGAGCGGGGCCTGGGGAAGGGGCTCCTGAGAGCCGAGCCCTGGGAGCCGAGCTGGGGCCAGGTGTGAGGCCACGGGGAGGGGCGGGCAGCCTGCTGAGCCTCAAGGCCCAGGGACGGGGAGAAGCCGCGGGCGTGGGGACGGCAGGGCGGGCAGGTGGGCCCAGCTGGGGGCTGGAGGCGCGCTGTGGGAGCCCGCTGAGTGCCAGGGGCCCTGGGCGGAGGCAGAGGGGCCGCCCAGGACTCAGACCCCCCTCACACGAGCCCCAGAGCCCGTGCCGGCAGGTGGGGACCGGCCTGGGGACGGGGTGGGGGGGGCCCCATGTGCGCCCAGCTGGCCTCTCTCCTCAGCGGCCCCCAGGCACCCCCGAGGGGCCCCGTGTGGGCTTGGACAAAGGAAGCAGCTCATGAGGACCTTTCCTCCACCAGAGCTCATCAGCAGAGCCCAGATGGGAAAGCCGCCTCCGTGGAGCGCCTCGGGGTTGGGAATGATTTCTTTCTGGAAATATGTGGCCTGAGGGGTGAGGCAGAGGACAGCCCGGGATGCTCCTAACAGAGAGGGGGTCTCCACTGGCTGATAGCCCCTCCTTCCCAGGACCCTCGTCTCCTCACGGACCCCCTCTACCCTCCACCCCACCACCGGCTGCGCTAACTCTCTGTGCCATGGGGCAGACGGTCTGAGCCCAGGTCCCAGGAGGGCTTGCTGTACCCAACCAGCGGGGCCACGGGGCCGGGCAGCCTCCACGCGTGCCCCCCACAGTCGCCTCTGCCGCCCCAATCCCCCACCCTCCTGCTCCCCCAGGAGCAGTGGGTCCTGCTCCCAAGGCAGGCCTGTCCCCGCCAGGCGGGGGCTCTGCTCCAGGAGTCTGTGGGGCCCAGGCCCCCGCAGCCTTGTGGCTCCACACACCCAGGGACGCTGGAGACGCCCCCTGCCTGCTGGGACAGAGGAGGAGAGGCTGAGGGTCCCTCTGCAGACCCGGACGGAAGCTCACTGCCCCTGCCGCCCACACGTCCTGCCCTTCTCCCTGAGGGGCGCCCATCTTGTGTGGGGCTGGGGCCCCTTCTGCCTGCACACCCCGGCCCTCTGCTCCCTGCCCAGGCCTCCCACCATCAGCCGCCTGGCCTTTGCAGGCGGGCCGGGACCCCGCCTTCATCCAGGACCGTGACCATGCCCAGTCGGCTGCTCCGGGGCTCCCAGACTGGCCGCTCTGCTGACGGGGGGCAGGGGGTCTCCTTCCTGGAGTCTGTCCTCAGGGAGCTCACAGCCCATGCGGGAAAAAAGACTCAGATGGGGTCGTTAAAGTGCCAAGCACAGCCCCCACCCCCCAGCTGTGAGAAGGGCAGGAGACGCAGGCCTGCAGGAGGCCACTGGGACAGGCCCAAAGCCTCCCCGAATCTGGGCCTGCGTGTCACGCACTTGGGGCAGAGAGGGGTCTCAGATGCATGAGGACCAGAGCCGGCAGGCCCTGGTGTGAGTGTGGGAAGGGAGACAGGGCAAGAAGCCCTACTCCTGGGCCAGCCCCAAGGGCAGGGAGGACAGAGGGGAAGCTTGGCCTCGAGACGGCCGCGGGCCGGCCTGGCCTCCCAGCCCCCGGCCCCCGACGTGTAGCCTCAGTCTTCAGGAATGTCCTGTCCTTGGCGGGAGCTGCCAAGGAAAATGGACGGGGCCCAGGGGCGGGGGCCCAGGCAGGTGGCTGGCGGCTCTGACACTTTCCTGGCCCAGGCCCCGCGTCCCCTGTGGACACTGCTCTAGGGCCGTGGGGCGCTCCTGCATCTGGGGGTGTGGGAGCGTGGCCAGGCCTCCGGCCATCTGCTGAGGCTCCCCCTTGGAGGGCCGTGCTGAGATGTCTAAAATATTTGTTTCGTAAAGGATTGACTTCCAGATGGTTCTAGAAGGAGCTGGGAACAATGGCCCTGGCTACAGCGGGAAGGCCCTCGATCCCCGCTTGGAATCTAGACCAGGGCAGCACCTCCGTACCTTGAAAAGACGAAGCCACCTTCTTTTCCTCTCTTGCAGCGTCAGCTCAACCCCTTGGGCACTCGTTCACTCTTTCATTCAACAAACACCTCTGCTGCGACACAGACCTGCAGGAAGGGGCTCAGGGCACCGCCTGGCCAAGTCCCCCTGCTCGGCCAGGAGCAAGCAGGACAGCTG